TCGCAGGCCTCCCCTGGGTGACGAGGGTACCAGGGTTGAGTCTGTGTATCAGTTGCTATGACGAGCACTTTGAAAACTTTATTTTGCGGTAATTGTGGGTTCACAGACAGTTGCAGAAAGATCTGTGTGCCCGTCACCTCACTCCCCCAAGTGACCACCGCTGCTTAGCCGCAGTCCAGCGTCAGCAGCAGGAGATGGACATCGGCTCGGGCTGTGTGCTGGTTCTGGAGAAAGAGGCTGTGCAGGGGACAGACTGCGTCCCAGCTCTTGTCCTGGTGCCTTAGTTAGCCCTCCACACAGCTCTGGGGGGGCATTCTGTTATCGTCCCCATGTCACAGGAAAGGAAACCGTGCAAGAATTCAGGGAAAGTATGGCATCTGCTCGAAACCACCAGGTGTGTGTTTGGCATAGGTGCCTGTAAAGCAGCAGCCACAGAGGTCTTGGAGGCCGTGTGGTCCCCATGCCTGCAGCAGGGATGCTGTCAGGGGCTTGGCACAGGGCTGGGCACATCACGGGCTCTCTGTGCAGCCATTGCTTTGGAAGGAAAGTGATCTAGATTTTTCAGATCAGAACATCTTTATCCAGTGGTGCAGCCAAGATTGTTCACTTTCTCGTCTTCCCATGTGTATTATGACCTTATTGTGTTTTATGACATGTGTCCCTTCACATGAAGCTTACAGGACTCCATCCCATGGCTTATGAAATCATTAGATTTTACCTTAGAAATGACTGCACTGAACAGGCCCAGAGAATGGTGAGCAGTGTCTGCCGCTCTGGATGATGTTTAGGGACAGTGAACTCACCCCACATGTCCTCAGCCTGGGACGGCCAGCACCTCTCTTGGGATGAGGGCCAGGCCTTGGGGCCAGTGGGAGCATGGAAGGGGCCTGGTTTCTACAGTGTCCTTAGTAAGATACAGGAAAGAAATGAAGGGGACACAGAGGCCTAGACGGTTTCAGAAGTTTTACTACTGGTTTAGAAATATTTATTTTATTTATGTTTAGTTTTCAAATGTGCTGTTTCCAGTTTTGTGCTTGCATGTTTAAGTGTTGCATGAAGCCACAGAGGCAGCGTGGGAAGCTGTCTTTTGGCGTGTGGTACTGGCAGAGGTTGGAGACCGTCGAGGCTCACGCCGCAGTGCCCATGAGCAGGTGGCGGGAGGTCCTCATGGTGCCTCCCGGTAGCTTCTGGGGGCAGCGCCTCAGGTGCCCTGACGAGCTCACGCCCTCTGACCTGCGCATCTGCGTTACGTAAATGATTGAGACACCATCCAGCATTTAATTCTGTGGGTGCTCATATCACTGGTATTTATAACAGACAAGGATGGAAACAGCCCCAAAGTCCCACAATAGAGGAATAATTATTTATATGATAAAGTGTGGGGCTGTGATTAAGCCATTTTTGAGCAATAAGCTAAAATGCTCGAAATATGGTCTTTTAAAAAAGAAAAGTCTGGATACCAAATTATATATTTAATGTGGTTAAGATATATCCATTTTTATGCAAAAATACTTACGTACACACATCCAATGTTGAGACATTTTCTCTGGCTGATGGTGCACGGTAAGTGATTTTAGTGTGAGGGGTGCAGATGACTTCAAGTGGCTTCTGTTTGTGCAAATCAAGTGGACCTGAGATACCAGTTTAACCACCTGTTTTCTTGGTTGTGTTGAGTGACTTTTAAAAAATCGCATAAGTTGAAGATGAGCACAAGATTGTCACCTCCCCTGGGCTCAGGCCTTCAGTGGGCAGAGCCCAGGTGGCCAAGGGATTCTTCTGAGGGCGGAGGAGCCTGGCTGTGGGCCACTGCGGCGTCTGTCACCACCACCAAGGAAGCAGGTGGAGTGGAGGGCGGGGGGGCCAGGAATAACCCTGATCACAGCAGCCCTGGCAGCCCCAACCCTCACACGCCTCTCCAGGGCTGGGTCTTTCTCTGAAACAATGACACAAATATTCTGTGGAGCTGCCAAACGCATGCTGAAAATTCCCAACCAAAACTAATAATCTTAATGGTGTATGTGACAAGATTTATTTTGTAAACCATTCTTACTTTAAGCTGTGCACAAACCATGTTGCCAAATCTGTAAATGATTCAAGAGCAAACTATTTCTACAAATTTATTCTTACGTAATAGTCAAGTGCAAAGTGGTTTAGACTGCCCTAGCTTTAGGAAATACAACTGCCTTTAACTGAACTATGAGGCATCAAACTTTCTGTCTCTCCCTCTCTGTCTCTGTCTCTCTCTCTTTCTGTCTTGCTCTGTCTCTCCCTCTCTCGTTCTCTGTCTCTCCCTCTCTCTCTTTCTCTTTCTCTATCTCTGTCTCTCCCTCTCTCGTTCTCTGTCTCTGTCTCTCTCTCTCTTGCTCTCTGTCTCTCTTTCTCTGTCTCTGTCTCTCTCCCTGTCTCTCCCTCGCTCTCTGTCTCTCCCTCTCTCTCTCTCTCCCTCTCTCTCTCTTTTTCTCATTTCCTGGGACTCAGGTGAGCACGTTCTTTTCATCGTGAGTTTTGTTTTCCACTTGTTTCTCTTCTATTTGCAGCAGCAGGCAGTCTTTTTACTTAGTCGACAGTGCACAATATCACACAAAGTTCACGTGGTGCACTGGAGGTTCCAGACGAGGGGCCCCCTTCTTGGGCAGCAGGTGCCCCCGTATGCTCGGGGTCTGCCAGTGTGCAGCACGAACCTGTGCAGTTGTGGCCTCTCCCGGCCCAGGGCCTGTGATCACTGAAGGGGAATCTGTAATTGCCCTGCTCTGCCCCTCCTGATCCTCGATCCCTGCCCCTCTCCCCTTCCCCAGAAGCGCACGCTGTTCCATGCTGCAGGCAGGAGCGGCCTGTCTCCAGGAGCACCAAGCCCTGCGCCGTGAGGCTCTTCCTTCTGCTGGGCTCTGAAGGGGACTCCCTGGAGAGCTGGAAACCCCCGTCCAGGACCGGCTGCGGGGACACTTCTGCTCCATGAAGTCCCCTCCCCCTGCAGAAGGGCATCCTGCTGCTTCCGGGTGGACCTGTTCCCCTGCCGTGCCAGCATCTGTGCCTCAGGTTCCCGCAGGCCAGCGGCACCCTGTTCAGCAGTGGGTTCCATTAGTATGTTGCGTTTCTGGCTGCAGCTGCAGAGTGGACAGGGCTGGGCTCCTGGCGCAGTGAGGCATCTCTGACTTGCCGGGCACAGGGTGGGGCCTGATGAGCTCTTGGCTTCGTTCTGAGGTCAGACTCTATGGTATGGCGTTCACACACCCTGGTCCTTGTGCCAAGGAAGGCAGCACTGGGCTGAGGCCAGTGCGACCCGGTCGGGAGGCTGGTAGCCCCCGTCTGCCCCTCGCTTGGAGCAGGGGCTGTGGGTGCTGTTCCCACCTGTGGGCCCGTGGGCTTCCCGGGAGAAGGGAAGATGCCTGCGGAGGCCACTCTTGGGTTCACCCAGCAGCACCTCTTCAGTGGAGATGGCCAGGGACCTACAGAACGTTAAGTCAGATGACAAGCTCGCCAGGGGCTTCTTCAGAGAGTTCCATTTCTAAGCTTTCAAATTACTATCCCACTCCAAATGTCATGATATGTGTAGTCCTCTCCAGGAATATTTTAAATGTTTGACATCTTTAGAGACACAGGGTACTTCCAAAAGTTTGTGGAGAGATGGAATTAAAAGACAACGTGAATCTTTCCGAGAACTTTTGAAGACCCCTTGCACAAATGCATCCCCTTCTTGTGCTGGGGATGTGCTCGTGTGGGTGGGGACGGCCTGCTCTGCTCTGCTCTGGTGGCGACACCAGGTGGATGGAGGTGGCGCCGGGGCAGCTCCATTCATGTGGGGTCTCTGACAGCTGCGACCTGTGCAGCCAGGGGCTGCTGCCTCCTCGGTCTGTCTGCGTAGCTGTCACGAAGAGGGTTGGAGATGTGGAGTGACACTGAGGGAGGAGGCAGGGGGACAGGTGGCAGCCACCATTCCGATGGAGCCTCGGAGCCTCCAGGAATGGACTCCAGCTGTGGAGAAGCCCCAGCCTGCCCCGAGGGCACCTTGAGGCTCCCCCCGCCTGAGTTCTGCCACCTCCCCAAATTGGAGAACCCTTGGGCACCATGTGTTCAAGCTGAGGGGTACAGGGGGCTCCCCGGGCCCCACCTGAAAAGCTGAAATGAGCCATTCCCAGCCCCTCATGGAGGGGAGCCCCGAATCCCCATGTGAACTGACTCTCGATGAAGCAGGTGTTGTAAGCCCACGTGGGCATGTGCAGGATCTGCTTTAGTTTTCCATGTTAAACCTTTACCCTTTTAAAGGACAAGAAACTACGGTGCCCATGTAGGGAGTGTCATGGGTCCCACAGACCAGGCTTTGGTGGGAGTGGCTTCCCCTTGTAAAGCTGCAACCCCTCGTCCGTGAAGTGGACGCTGAGGACAGGACGTGCCACTCTTGGTGACGCTGCCCTTCCTCCCTCGGTGCGGGGACGATAGCCATGCTCAGGAAGCCACCATCCCTGGTGCAGCTGGCCCGTTGGCTCTCGTTGCCTGTGGTGGTCAGGCTCTAATGTTTGTCCTGGGTAGGGTGGGAGTCGCTGCAAACCACGTCTAGCAAACCTGCCGTTTTATGAAGGGGCCACTGCATCGCAGATGGTGACACTACATGTCCAACAAGGGCCACACGGCTGGTTAGTGGAGGGGGTTCAAGCCAGGCTTACTGGTCTTAGAGGCCAGAGCTCCTGCCTCTTTGATTTTAAAAGGATTTTTGATTGGTCTGGAACCTATCTCATCCGGGAGGTTAGATACTTTGCAGAAGCCTGTCAGGAGGGAAGGAAGGTATTTTCAGCTCGTGGTTGGAAAATGCTTCCCTCTTACTCATCACGAGGTGACACGCGGTGGCCACGCACCGGCATAAAGCAACCAAGCATCTAAATCACCACATCAGAACATTTCCTCGTGGATGGAGATGGGGAGGCCAAGAAGTAACACTGCGCGGGTCCTCGCAGTCTGCGTGGCATGTCCTGCGAGTCTCACTGCTGTCCTCTGTTCCTTTTCAGCCCGTCTCTCCCTGCCCTCGACTGGCAGCTGCCCTCCCACTCTGGCCCGTATGAACTCCGGATTGAAGTGCAGCCCAAGTCCCACCACAGAGCTCACTACGAGACTGAGGGCAGTCGGGGGGCCGTGAAGGCATCAGCTGGAGGACACCCCATTGTGCAGGTACTGGGGTCTGCTGTGACGGCCAACTCGGCCCATGTGTTGGTGTCTTTCCATCCAGAGGGCGACTCTGCAGCAACAGCTCATAGCGCCTTTCTTCCCGTTTTAAAAAATTATCATCTCCCAGCCGGTCTTACATATACGTCTAGTCAAATCATAGTTTTCCCCTCAATATGTACACACTAGAATGCGAACACTGCATAGCTCATATTTCTGTATCTTGTAGGTCATCTGCGATCCCATGTACACATGTGCTCCCTGGGATCTGGATGTTCTGAACAGCTCATCTTTGAGACTCCTTTCTTCTCTAAAGCCGCTGAACCTCTAGGACGGTGGTTCTCCTGGGTGGTCCCCTCACCACAAGCATCAGCCTCACCTGGGAATTAGTTAGAAATGCAGATTCTCTGGTCAGCTCTACCTGCTGAATCCCACATTCTGGGTGTGGGGCTCCCTGCTGAGAGGTGTCAAGACCCCAGGGTGGGCCATGGGGCAGCTGGCAATAGGATCAGGGAGCTCCCCGAGGGGAGGTGGACATGGCACATGAAGCCGTGTCCCTGCCCGGGAGCGTGGACCAGGCTCTCCCAGTGGTGGTTCTGGGATCCTTAACCTTCCGCACTAATACTTTGGGAGGAAACCTGTTTCCTTGGCTGTGAACTCAGAACATCCATTCACTGTGGCCAGGGAGGTACATTGGTGACTGTGGGAAGCAGCCAGCATCTGCCAGCCCAGCCTGTCCCCTTCTCCACCTTGGGATGTGCACGTGGGTGTCGCACCTGTCACCTCGTGACCTTTAGACCCTTGTGCCCCCAGGATGTCAGTGTCCTGATGCCCACAGAGACAAGCTGCTCCCCCCCCCCAGGGCTCCAGGCCACACAGCATTAACAGAGCATGCTTTCCCCAGTAACCCCGACACCATAAAACTGGGTGCCCCAACCCTGTCATTTAGGGCATGGTGAGGTGCTTGGCAGGACACCCGTATTTCTATTTTATTCCATTTAGATAAATTAAAAAGTTGGGCAGGAAGGAGGCCGCAGGACAAGCTGCACTAGCTAGTGCAGCAATCAGGGATGCGGTCGGCAGGCGAGGTGCTAAAGTGGAGCTCTTCAGCGGCCCGCGCGGGTGATGCTAGGGTGGTATTGTGGCCTGTGCGCTTGATGCCGATTAGTCCCCACTCTGCCAACTGCTGGGCACATGTTAGTGCAGGAGACACAGCAGCAGTCAGCGGCCAGCTTGACATTTTAAGTTCCCGCCTTCCCACCCAGGTGGAAAAGGTCAGGTAATGCCAGCATTGAATTGCGCTAAATAACGACAGGTATTTATTTACCTCCCCTTCTTTCTCCGGCTTCCACCAAATGAAAGTGGATTATTGCTGGATGAGAAGATATTCAGAAGGAGAGTAAACGAGGCTGCAGCAGGAGGAGGATGGGACAGCAGAGCTGGTGCAACGCGCCAGCGCTGGGTTCCACGGGGGACGTGCGGGCTCTGGGCGCATGTTTGTCTCTTCGCAGCGTGTGGTTACAGGTGGTCCTAAGAGTCCCTGTTATTTGGAGGGTAAAGCAGGGGCCGTGAGTGTGGAGAGCCCTGAAGTTTAACAGATTTGTTTCCACGGCTGCTAGTGGCCGTCAGCGTCTCCTGCTGTCCCCGCGCTGGACGCGTCTCTGCACGCCTGGCCCCTTCCCCTCGCCTCTGGGAACTGGTTTCGATTTCTGTGGTTAAGCGTCTTGGGTATAGGGTGGCTTAGACAATGTAGAGAGAATAAAGACGTTTTGGAGGAATTGTGAAACTTGAAACAGTAATTTAAAATATCTTTAAAGTGTTTCTTCAAAAATTATCTCAAATTCAGTGGCACAATGGAGGCTTGCAGAGCGGGAGCAGCCGGTGATGTGTTTAAACAGAATGGACACCCCCCTCCCCACAATTGACAAGAAAAAGAAAATGATCCCCTGAACAGAAAATGTCAGGACGGATCAGCATTTCTCACATGTGAGGAATTAGTAATTTAAAGAGCTTTTCGACATATCTGTGGCAGGTGAATTCATGTCTATGAGAGTGTGGGGTGAGCAGTTAAAAAGAGGGGTTTTTGGAGATTTGTTTTCTTCCTCAGTTGGTGGACCACAAATGGATAAAAATAGAATTTGCACATAATTATAAAACAAATGAAAATAGAAAACTCTCGTTTGCTGTGAAAGCTCACTAACCACAGAGTTTTCCTCCGAGATGTGAGTTACTTCAGCACATCCTCTAGCACCAGCAGCTCCTCTCACTTTGCAGAAATGATTGCATGTCACCGTGGCCCTGGCCTGCACAGGGACGAGGCCGCACGTTAACTGATGTGTTGGGAAGACAGTGGCTCCCAGGAAGGGACGGCGGGCAGCTGGTCAGAGCTGTAGCCTCAACCATTCAGAACTGCTATTGTGTGCGCGCGTGTTGGAGTTTTTGCTTGTTTTTAAAACGCTGTTCTCTTTAGTATATCCAGCTAGTCATATTTTCCTCTATAGATCAAAAAGTTTGTCCATAAAATCAAAGCCAACGACCTTCTGCAGAATGGAAGGACCCTCGTGGTACCCTAGAGGAAAATGAGAGGGGGTTCTGCCTCTGATGCTGTCGGCAGGTGCAGGAAGACCACTCCTCAGCCACCTTCCCTTCTGCACCAGGCAGAAAGCCATCTACCTCCTCTCCAGGCAGAACGCCAGGCCATGGAGTTGCAAGATCAGGAAAGGACGTCAGCATCCATCTGGCCCAGCCTTCATGTTTGTTGGGGGATGCGAGATTCATGAGGGGCTTAGCCAGCGCCATTCCGCTGTCGCTTGTGGGGGCCCTTCCCACCAGTCTAAGGACCTCTCTGGTGGGCAATGTCCCACCCTCATGGAGCCATTGCAAACCCCCTTCCTCGAGGGCCGATGGTCACTTCTACCCTTTCCCATAGAAACGTGGTCTTTCTCACGCTGGAGAATGACCTCCATGGTCGTCCACAAGCTCCTTGTGGCTGCGTTGCAAGACCACACCTTTACGTCCACCATAGTTTTAAGAATACTCATATCGGAAGGAACAGAGCAACAGTTTAGCATGTACAAGTGAGACAGCTCGCCAGGCAGCAGGGAAGGGCTGGGGGTTGAGTATGAACTAGAGGTGGGTTTAGCATGTGCCCCAGAAACCCTCTGGGTAGACGTGGCCTGTGCAGGGTCTGTCTGGACCCTGCCACTGCTGTCGTGACAGCTGCATTTCATCACTGACAGGGTGGAGTTTTCGAGCGAGGACAGGGTCTTCCACAAGCCCCTGACGCCACAGGCTGTGTACGTGGGAGGCAGGGCCTGAGATCTGTCTCGGAGCAGAGCATGCAGCTGGGCTTTGCTTCCATTGTCATGTCGAGACCAGCAATAAAGAGATTGTGGATTTACCAAACCTTAAAACTCACCTGTTTCTCAGCACAAATGACCCAAATAGCCCATCCAAAAGGAACGGCCCCCTGCATCCATGCGGCCCTAGTCCTGCAGGGCAGATGGATGTGGTCTGACCTCTGACCTGGGGTCAAAGAATTCAGCTCTGTTTACCAAGTTACCAAAATAACTTTCCCGATAGCATCTAGCCCCTCATGCAGGAGGCTGGGTTTGTGTGAATAATTAATAGGTCAGTGCAATGTGAAACACTGAGAGAAAAGCCCTGGTCAGTTCCTAAATAGCGTTTTAGGTTTGCAGTTTGTGATCTTGTCACTTAGGACGTGACCAGCATAATCCCTGTCTGGCCCACGGAGGAACCGACTTAGCACAGAGCCGGGGTGGGTGTGAGGGGCGGGTGGGCCTGAGGGTCAGGAGAGCGCTGACAGAGGGTCCTGGCAGGAGTGGGCATCAGGGTCAAGGTGGTGGGGACCTGCTGGTGCCTGGTGGTTCTGCTGGAACTCTCCCTCGGTTGCTTGGCTCTTAGGTGAACTTTGCCCACATAGATCTGTAATGAATATTTTTTCTATCATACAAGAAATCTCACAGCTGAAGGAATAGACTATGCTGGGGGAAAACTCATTTTTCCTCAGATTGTTAAAACTGGCATTCATGTGAGGCTGTTCCAGTTACTTTTCATTTAGACGGTGTTAGACGTTGTGAGACGCAGGTTCCCAAGGGGCATGTGGATTCGGTAGACAGATGATGGCCTCTCGCCTTACCTGTGGCCACTCATCCCCTTTTCCTGTCATGATCTGTCCTGAGGAGGGGTCTCCTCTGGAGTGCTCCACCAGACAGGGCCATTAAACTAAAAAGCCAGAGTTTTCACAAAGCCAGCCAAACAGTTATTAGTGGAAGAATTATTATTTGATCAAAACAGCTCAGGCCCAATCGGAAGCCGTTTGTCGGAGCGTCTCTGTATAGGAGCAGCTCTGTCCGGCCCAGGGGACAGCAGGGAGGCGGCACCCCCCCGGATGCCAGGCAGGCGACATCAAAACGCAGGTCTGACCCCACACCAGGCACCGTGATCCTTTCCGCTGCCAAACCCTGGCTGACCTGCACGAGGCACGAATTAATTTTTCATGGGTCTGCCTCGGCAACTAGACAGCTGCCCTCTCCTCTGTCAGCAAGATTTCAGGGCAAATGATTGTTTCCTTCCCTGGCCTACTGAGTACACCAAAGCCAAGGCGTTTCCACACTTTTATAGGTGCGTCTCCCCTCCACACAGGCAGCCAGGCAGAGCGTGTCTTGTCACTGCCCGGGAGCTGCTTTTTGTCCCACCGACACAGAACTCACACCAGTGCAGCGCTGGGTGTCTCTGCTACTCCCTGACATGCGAGGTCAGCTTTGATGATGAATGAGGATTCACCATGCGCTTTCCTCACTAAAGCAAAGCCAAAGAGTTCTCTCTGGCATGGCACGGAGATGCCCCCTCGCCCTGGGAGGATCTTCATGGGGTGCTTTTCATCATGTCAGCATAATGATAGTCAAGTGGAATGAAGTTGGCCCGTCCAGTCATCGTTTACCACAATAATAATATTTGAGAAAGCAGGTGGAGCTGTGCTGAGT